AGTCAAAGTGGTGCACTTTTGGACTGGGTGATCTACTCCACCACACACAAAACAAGGTCTAGAGATTCAAAACGGGAAACAGCTTGTGTAGGCTTCGAGTCCTTAGCACACAAGGTTTCAAGTTCTCTAGTGAGGGCTTCCACTTTGGCTCTAAAGATATCCTCCTCCCTAGGGATAAATACCTGTGCTAGTGAGTTTTCTGTGGGTCGTAAATGATTAGTACTTTCAGTGGCGCTAGATCCAGTCCAAATATGAGCCTTCTTAGTTAACTCATCGAAGTACTCTATTGTCTCATCCGGATCTTTTTGTAAGAAATCACCATTACACATTATCTCTACAAATTGACGTTCTCTAGGTGTTAATCCCTTATAGAAATAACTCACTATACGCCAACTCTCATAACCATGGTAATGGCAAAGGGCTTGTAGTTCTTTATATCTTTCCCATGCTTGGTATAAGGTCTCGCTATTCTTTTGAGTAAATGAGGAAATTTGTTTCTTAAGGGTTCTAGTTTTATGATGGGGAAAATATTTGTTGAAAAATGCTTGAGTTATTTTAGCCCAAGTGCTAATCGAATGTGGTTTCAACGAATACATCCAGCTTTTTAATCTTTTTTAAGTGAAAAAAGAAAAAATTTAAACCTAACTACATCTCTTGTGCAATGGTGATTGTGGAAGGTTGCAACCACCTCCTCAAATTCTCTAATGTGCACGTATGGATTTTCACTGTCAAGTCCATGAAAAGTGGGAAGAAGTTAAATCATTTCCGGTTTAAGCTCCATACGTGGCACATTGGTGGAAACTTATACATGATGATGTGGATATGCATGTGGGATGAAGATAATCTTGTAAAGTCCTATAAGGCGCATCGCCATGCTTACTATCAGACATGGTATTGTATAATGTGGCGTTTGTGGCAATAGATGCAATATCAAAGAAAGAGTTATAGAGAGATTCCAACACTGTAATAGGTTCCGCAGTAGAACTTCCTTGATCGCCTCGATTTTTGCTCATAAAACACCAAGAACAAAGAAAATGTGTGAAAATAAAATAATAAAAATAAATAAATAAATAATAATGGGAAAAATTAAATCAAGTAAAAATAAAAATAAATGAACAATATCACCATTTTTCAATTGATCCCTTGGTTACTTGTACCGTCTCCCCAGCAACGGTGCCAAAATTTGATTACGTCCAAAGAATAATGCGGTAATGATAGTACAACTTTGGGGTATCGATTCCATAAGGAGATGGAAAATCATTCAAAGAATCCAAAGGTAAATGTTCTCTCGAAATATGTAGTGGGATTTATTTATTGATAGGAATGAAATTTAAATATCAATGGGTGAAGTAGTGAAGGGCCGAAATTCTCTCAATTGGTTTGGATCATTCAACACTATCAATTCATGCTTATAACTCAATTAAAGATGTTAAACTTAACTCTCTAATTGAAAAGTATAACTTTAAGCACCAATTCAATTCAACGGAAATTCTAAAGATTAAATTTCCTAAAATACATTCCCACATTTTATTGAAATCAGATTCAAAAGCGACCATATACATCAAGTATAAGGCAATAGGAAATCACACCAGTAACATTAATTAATTGAAATTGAAATTTAACAAATATTTCAATTGTTCGATAGAAAAAGAATGACTAAATCTATGAAAAATCTAATAAAAGTTAAACCAATGTCAAATCACATTCAAGATATGGAAATTTAAATCCTAGAATCGTTCAATGATGAAAATACTAGACTACATGAATTAAAGGATGTTGAAATCCCCAAAATCGATTGAGTTCTTTCATGGCTTCACCAAGATTGTTAGTTCTCCATGGATTTTATCGTGCCAAAGATAAGAGAAAACTGTATGGGGGCATTATCTAGGTCTTAGATGAGATTTAGGGCTTGTATATGGTGTAGAAGATTTGTTTCCATAAGTGGTTGAACAGAATTTTGAAACAAGAAAATTCGCGCCTAACAGTTTTCAGTATTTTGGCCATATCTTTTTCTTTCTATGTCCGATTGAGGCGATTCAAAGTGAAAAGCTAACAAAAAGGGCTACAAGTTTGCTAGAAGTAGGTCTTTCCCAATTCGAAAGTTTACTAGGGGAAAATGGATCACAATCTCTAACTGAAAATATAGAACATTCTTGTATGGTTAAAAATCGATTTGTGAAAATGTTATAGTCATATTTCACTTCTTTTGACTTCTAATTGCAACCAGTTGATCCCCTAGCATTGTCAAATCATCATTCCATCGTCCCATCTCATCTTTGGATTATTTGCAACTTGGTCCCTGAACTTTCACTTGCTTCAATTTTTATCATTTTCGCTCTTTTCTCCCAAATTCCACTGTATCCATCCATTTACAACCTAAATCAAAATATAAGGGTACTTAGTGCATTTAGACATTAATATATCATAATAATGCAAGTATAAATGGATGAATTGCTTTACAATTTGTGATATTATCAATAACACACATAGATCTTTTCAGAAACACGTTCATACGGAACCACAAATTAATACCAAGTTAATTAGACAAACAGTCAACCACATATGCAATAAATGTATAAATGACCTACGAAAAGATCTCACCACACTTATCCTATCTCATTCCGTGTTGCTCACACCTCGAGAACACATATTTTCTCTCATCGCCCACTATGCTCACTAAACTGGTCACTCAATTCATGTCTAACTGGTAAGTCACAATAAATTCTAAGTCCACGAGATAATCCTTTATCACCACATCACTTTTCTCAACCTATGTGGATAATTTGTTTCCACCTAACAGAAGTGATAGAAGTGTCTCTCTCACACTCTGCCTGTACAGGGTCTCTTCACAGTAAAGAATTCCAACATTTAATCACATCTCCACTCGTGATCCAAATGTCACACTCCACATCCTCGGTACAAACTACTATGTACCCCTAAGCATCAAAATTCCACCTTACCAAAAGACACTCAACACACTGCTAATGCATCTCAAACCTACTATGGCAAATCAATACTTTTCAACGACTAAAAAGGTTAGGGCTTTATTTAAAAGTTGACCCACGCACAACAAGTTTACTCTAATCACCAATGCTCAAAAAATTCATAAAGGAAATGACAAAAGTGGCACTCATAAAGAGAATCGAAGAAATGGTTGGTTACTTCACTATACTCACAAAAGAGGCTCACAAAGAGAAAGAAGGTAACCCTACATGGCTACCTCACACAACCTCACAAACCACACAGGCTCACAAAGAGAAATAAGAAAACAACTACCCATCTTTCTTCTCATTACCATTCTCTCACACCACTCACAAAGCAAATGGAGTACGCTATGAAACTCAACCCACTTTGCATGCAAACACATTATATAAAGTAATAAAATCACTCTAATTTATACAATTACACATATCGAACAAATTGAAAGTGTAACGTACCAATGCAACATAATTAAGCAATCACATGTATGTAAAAAAGATTACACACAGAAGCAATTCTAATAGTGTAGAAAAATTGACAACAATTCACAAAGAATTTAAGGCAAATAATTCCTAGGTCTAGCAACAGTCAATGGTTACCCTTTCATGGTAACCCCAAACTTAACGTCACCCCACACGATGACTTCTAATGTGAAAAATAAATAATTATTTTACACAATAATTTTAACTGCAATAATAAAAAGTAAAGAACACGATACCAAGCAGACGACGTCTGAAGGTCTTTAAATATCGAGAGACATGAATTCACCACTTTAGGATCACTACTGTTCATCCTAAAGTCACCAGTAATCGCAAGGACACAAAACAGCAATTTACCCCCGAACATCCAAGGGTAAAATCGTCCAACTTTCAATGCATTGCTCAAAACTGAAATTCGACAACACCGCAGGGTCTGTATTACCACCAAAAACATTCTATCTTTAGAAGCCATTGCCTGAAACCCCTTCACGCGCCACACTGGAGTCCCAAACGTGTCGCCGGCCACGCGCCACCATCAGCCACCACTTGCGAAACCTCCACCTGCACAGTCCGTTGGTGATCTTGGTTTCTCCACCAGGACAGTTGTTTGGCTGGAAAATGAATTTACAGGTTCGGATTTTTAACAATTTTTCTATCCAAAATTCTGCCGATTTTTAGATTCGATTTTGGCCAATTTCCACGATTTTTACCTCCAAAAATCATAGATTTCTTAACACAATTTGTCGCGGAAATCCTAATAGTAAGTATGGCCATGTTTGTATTTTAGTAATCTCGTACAATCTCCTTGGACCTCGGTCGGATTATCAGATATTCTTCTTGGACAATGATTAATTATTTCCATTTGAAGGCATCAACTTCTATTTTAGAACAAAATAAAATATCATTTTCAATTAAACTATAGTAGTCCTCTCCACAATTTGGTTCAAGCAAATCTCATGATTGATTTTCATAAGCATTTTCTTAAGTTTCTGGGATTGATTTTCGTTCATAAATATAAATGAGGTGTAGACAAGGCTTAAGATAGGTAGTTGGTACATAATTTGATTCATACTCTCCAATTTAAATCATTCCTTTTAAATGGTGCTCCCATATTTCTTGTTAGCCCATTTAAGGAAATGTTCGAATGGAGATTCTCACTGCTTCTGTTTATACTTGGTACGGAGCTGCAGTAATTGCTCTGATGTTTCATTCATGGCTACTTCTTCTTCGTCTTTCATCTCACTGCTCGCTCAATTCAATAGCCTTTGACCTCATGCCTTCTCCTGTTTTCTCCAAAACCAACATCTTTATAGCCTTAGCCACCTTATCTCCATCGAACCGTCCACCGTCATTCCGCACAACCACTATAGCGGCACCATGCTCGACCATGAGACTAGCATTTAAAGGCTGATCAAGTTTCAAAGGCATGGCTATAACAGGAACACCAAAATATATGCTTTCCACTATAGAACTCCATCCACAATGACCCACAAAACCTCCCATACTTTGATGTGCCAAAATTTTAGCCTGTGGTGCCCAATCCTACACAATTATACCTCTCTCTTTCACCCTATCAAGAAATCCCTCTGGTAGTGTTTCTTCTATTCTTGTGGTATTCCCAACAGGAAATCTAACAACCCATATGAAGTTAACATCACAAAGTTCTAATCCCCTTGCCATCTCTTCTATCTGCTCCTTGGACAAGTAGTTTTCACTACCGAAGGAAATAAACACGGTTGAAAACTGATTTTTCTGGCTTAGCCACTGCATGATCTCTGAATATTCTTCTTCACTATCAGGTTGTGTAGCCAGTGGTCCAACAGTTACCACTTTTTTTTGGCACAAGGAAGAAAGATAATCAATACACTTACCCTCAATCGCCCTGCAGCTATTCATCAAAACAATGTCACAAGATTGTTTGCAGTTCCCAAAGGCAAAATCTTCACCTCCATCTTTAATTATTGATCGGAAGTTCTGATTGATTCTTTCATAGTCTGTTAGATATATTGCCCGATAAGGGAAAGCAGCATGCCCATATGTGAATTCTGATGGTAAAAAGTATATATAATTGCTCCTGCAGATGAAAAATGAGCAGCAGGGATACCTAGCGATGAAGCAAGTGCAGCTGACCACGGCTGGAAAAGATCGTATAATAGCAAAGTCTGGCTTTAGAGTGTTAATAATGTCTGAAAAGTTGGAGCTTGACATTTGAAAGGCCTGAAGAAGCTTTGGCAAAAGATTGGGTGGCACGGTTTTAGTCGTGTGATAATACAGAGGAAGTTCAGGCGATGACGTAAATGGAGTTCTACTAGCTCTATCGAGATATTAAAGAAGTTTTTTTTCAATGGCTTTACTGATTGAACTAAGATTGATAGCTGTGGAACAAAAGTAAATTTGGAAGCTATTCAGTGATAGTTTCTTGGCTAGCTCAAGGAAGGGGAATAAATGACCATGAGCCAACCATGGAAACATTAGAACTCTTGGATTAATTTGTTCCGTCTCCATGAATGAAATCCTTACTCCTTAGTCCTTAGACTCTATTTCCTTCTCTCTGTATAGAAACCTGAATATGACAGGCTCTTATTGAGTTGTAAGAAATTAACAGTCAAGAAAGATGCAAATATCTCACTTTTAATAAAAAGGGGATGAAGGGTCTACTATTCATGCAATAGTAAATGAATTCAATTTTAATATGCATGATGTCATTTTTTATTTTGTTTATGTCAAACAAATGTTCTTTCACACATCATTCCACTAGCATTAAAAAATAGTTATGTCAAACAAATATTCTTCCACACATCATGCTACTAGCATTAAAAAAAAAAATAATTTTAATAAATATAAACTACCATGAGCCAAAAAAAAAAAAAAAAAGAATTTTTCGCATGTTAGCTTTAAAAAAAATAAAAATAAACTCTTCGCACAATGTAGAGAGATGGCAAACCATGTGCGGAGAGTTGGCAAAATTCTCTAGACAGTGTGAATTAAAAAAAAAATTTCTCCGCACAGTGCGGAGAGATGGCAAACACCATGACTAAACTCTCCACACAGTGCGGAGAGATGACATTCTATGCGGACAGTGTCCTCACAAAGTGCGGAGTAACAAAAAAAAAAAAAAACTTCACACAATGTGGAGAGTTGGCAAATTCTCCGTACAGTGTAAAGTTAAAAAAAAAAAAAAAAAAAAAATCTCTCCGCACAGTGACTATCACGTGCGTTGCACGAATTTTGCATTTATCGTATTTTTATTAGTGTATGAATTTTAATTTTTTGGAAAGTTTTTGAAGTAATATCAAGAAATATTTTCATGATATAAGAAAATAATTGCAAATTATTTTTACAATTGCATAACAGTATTGTGTCTATCTAGAAAAAATATACTTATATATTTCATACTTGAATAAGAAATATACGAGATTATACAAATTATTTTGCTTGTATTCTTTGATAGTGTTGATATGATTGAGTTAAATGTAAAGATTATATTTCTAAATTTTATTTAATTCAATATTGGAAAATTGAAGATTGAACACCATATTCATATGTACTTATATTTTGTGCTTCATATATATTTAATATTTATTTTATACTTATGCTGAAAAAATTAAAATCTGAACTTTTTTTGAAATTCGGTTTGGTAAGTGAATATATGATATTCTGCATTCTCGGTATTTGTAAATGTAAAAATCGGTATATAAAAATACGGTAAGTTGCAAATAAGGTAGGCGGCATACACGGTAAGTTGCAAATACGGTAAACAGCATATATGGTAAGGTGAAAATACAGTAAGTTGTTTGCAAATACGGTGTTTTTCAAATATGGTAGGCAACATATACAGTAAGGTGCAAATACAGTAGGCTGAAAATACGGTAAACAGCATATACGGTAAGCTGTATATACGATAAGCTGCAAATACGGTAGACAACATATACGGTAAGCTGTATATACGGTAAGCTGCCTACAAATACGGTAAGCTGCATATATGGATTTATAATTTATTATAAATGTATAAAATTTATTTAATATTAAATTTCTTAAATGTTAAATGTTGTAATTCAATATTATTTCCTTTTTTATAATTGTATTTTCGAGAATTAAAAAAAAAATGGTTATAAAATTGCTGATTTTTAAATGTGTTTTTTGTTGAAGATAAAAATCATTTTTTTATGTTATTTGTAAAAAAAAAATTATTGTAATTTTATTAATGTAATAAGAAGATTTATTATGCATTTTTATTTTTTGCATTTTGTGAAGAATTTTGTTTATGGTGATTGACAAATATTCTTCCACACACGCATTATGCCAACAATATTAAAATAATAATAATAATTTTAGTATATATAAACTCCATGAGATAAAAAAAAACTCCGCACATGAGCAAAAAAAAGACTCCGCAAAGTACGGAGAGATGAAAAATTATCTCTGTGCACAATGTGAAGAGAAAAACAAAAACTCTCGGGACTTTATCTGCAAGTTCCAAGAGGCTTTTTCTCAAACAACTTTTGAGTAATGTATTAAACACTTTAATTCCTGGCCTATAACCCGAAAGTATAATTTTATTGAAAATTGTATATGCTTCTAATGTCCAAGAACTTTTATCAAGCAAATGTAAAATATTGAATTTGGGTGGTACCTAGAGTCTCCATTTGTTAAAGCAATGCCATGATACTATTAATATCTCATTCTTTGAACAACTCACATATTGTTTCATTGTATGAATCACGAAAAAACTCATTTCCAATATCATAAATATGAGTTGCATGCTCAGAAATTGAGCTGTGACTGGAATTTAAAGAAGACATAATTGATTTTGAGTCATGTTTTTTGACTCTATTTTGTTATATATACGAAAAATTTAAAATCTTGAAATTTGAATTGTAATAAAGGAATTTGAAAACAACTCTCCATACTGTGCGGAGAGTTTTTTCTCTCCGTATTGTACGGAGAGTTGGTTTGTTATCTCTCCATATTTTGAGGAGATTTTTTTTTACTCCACACTATGCAAAAAGTTTGCCAACTCTTTTCGTACTGTACGGAGAGGTTTTTTCTGTCCGCACTTTTAAATTACTCCGTACATGGTTCAACTCTCTACACACTGTGCAGAGAGTTTTGCCATGGTGCGAATCAACTCTCCGCACTTTGCGAAGAGATTAAATCTCTCCGCATAGTGCAAAGAGTTGGTTTGTCATCTCTCCGAACTGTGCAGAGAGTTTTTCTCTCCGCACCTTTTTTTATTTTTTATATTTACTCCGCACTTGGTTCAATTCTTTTCGCACTGTGCGGATAGTTTTTTTTTTTTAATTTTACAATATTGAATTACACAAAATTTAGAAATATAATCTTCACATTCAATTCAATCATATCAACACTATCAAAGAATACAAGAAAAATAATTTGTATATTTCTTATTCAAATATGAAATATACAAGCATATTTTTTCTAGATAATATACCGTTATGAAATTCTAAAAATAATTTACAATTATTTTCTTATATCATGGAAATATTTGTAGATATTGCTTCAAAAACTTTCCAAAAAAACTAAAATCCATACACTAATAAAAATAGGATAAATAACGCACGTGATAGCGACTAGTAATAGTAAGATTCTAAGCTATATCTCATAGCTAACGTCAATAGACAGCATATTATTTATTTATGTCTCCACGTTTTTCTGGCTTTTATTGAAGTTTTCAATATCTCATTTAGAACAAAAGAAATAGTTTTTGCTTATTAAAATTGAACTAGCAGACTTGTACAGTTCATTATTCAACAACTAAGCTATCCTACAGCTGTTCTGTTGAGTTTTTTATTGTTAGCATTACTTGCTCATCTTTACAAGGAAAAGGATTTTCGTAAATTATAACAGAAATTGAATTGCATTGATTTTCTGATAGAAAAGTTTTCTCCCAACAGAGATTATTCCTTGTGCGTGTAAGTGTTATGCCCTAGGTCCAATCAACTTTGGACATAAATACTTTTATATATAATTAACGCAATTAAATGGCAGATCTATTGTTTAATAGACAATTAAATAAATAATAGAGTCCGTAGATTCAAATATTTGTAATTTGTTAATCACAAGGAGTTGTGATTGTGAGATACAAATTACATCTGATAGAATCTTAAATCATCCGTGGTCGTAAGTAATAACGAGATACGGATATCGTTATTACGGATAGACCATCACGTGTGGCATTTCTTACTTGTGAAGTAAGTAGCTGATCTCACAAGCTAAAGTGTGGTGACACTTAAATGAACACGTGGATGTTTTTGTTATAGAACAAAACATTGGAGACCCGTCGAGAGATTTCACATGGATAACTATCTGAGTGTCAGTGGTTAATCTCTAACGTTCGGTAGTGGAATTGGTCCTTTGACTTGAGGTCGTCATAGTACCTTATATGAGGACAGTCATACTTTGGCGATGTTGGATGTTGCTCTGAAAAGGGCCGCTAATACGATATCGTTCGGGTACGTCAAGAATCGTATGAAGGTTGTGATTGATCAATAAAGGATTCGTCACTCTTAGATAGTAGGAGATTATGATCTACGTTTCATTCAATTAAGTCGATGATGAAATCCTTGGCCAATGTGTACTCATAAGTCGAAAAGGAGTTTTCGACTTATATTGACTTAATAGTGGAGTGAAAGATATGATCGATGATCGAGATTGACACAACTCCATATCTCGTAATTGATCGGATCATATT